ATTAATACATATTCACAAAAATAAATAGTAACAGCCCTAGAATGTCTGAAGGGATAGTGTGCCTTGAAGTTTATGGATCTTCAAACTCACTTTCATGACACTTTCAAACTCACTTTTAATACACATTGCCAGTTGGTTTAAGGAGCTATTATAATATGTCAGTACATATGAAGAACAGTATTGCAGTCACTGACAAAGTACATTAAGCCATTAAGTTTAAATAGCATTTATATTTTTTATTGTCACAGGCAAACCGATACAAAGAACACAATAAGTAACATTTATAGAACATAGAAGTACTACATTGTGGGAGGGATAGCTCAGTGATTTGAGCATTGGTCTGCTAAACCCTGGGTTGTGAGTTCAGTCCTTGAGGGAGCCACTTGGGGATCTGGGGCAAAATCAGTACTTGGTTCTGCTAGTGAAGGCAGGGGGCTGGACTTGATGACCTTTCAGGGTCCCTTCCAGTTCTATGAGATAGGTATATCTCCATATATGATAATTATATTACATTTTTTTAGCAAAAGTGTGTTTTAACATTTGTGCTCTACAAATAATGCTTAACTTTCAAAATTGACTTCCATTTTTGGAACAGCGGCAGGAACTCAGATTCTGTTTGTCCAATTCTGGGTTAATTTGGTTACTCATGAAGGTGATGAGGATAACCAATGAGTAGGATCAAGCTTTGTGTGCAGAGATCTCATATAAGCTTCCCAATACAGTTCTGCCAGTGAAATGTTATCTGGATTTACAGCATTCTGCTAAATTGATCATGGGCTTTTCTGGTGCATGGGACCAGTGATCTTGATGAACTTTTTCAAATTCTCTGGAGGCTTTGTGATGCTGACTGATACCTGCTGAGGAATAGAAAGACATCAGACTTCTTCACCTGCAATAGTTTCATGCATTAAAGTTGGATTTTTGGAAATGAATTGATGTACTAACCCTTTAAAATTTGACCCCAGCATTTGAATTTATTTGGAGTTTAATTAGCATTTATTGAAAAATGTAGCAAATTGATATAATCAACAAAGTAAACTGAGTTGCATTTATTAATTGAGCTCTAAACCACCTGGAGAAATCTTAAGTATATAATCTTACTTGCTGTTTGATCAGAATTTAATTTCAATTTTGGGGAGCTGATAAATGCATAATATAATCCAGACTTTTCATTAACCTAATTAAATAAAACTTCTTTTTTTCAGATCTGTTTTCTCCTATTTGCTGTTCTCTACATAGTTTCCTATTTTGTAATCACAAGATACAAAAGGAAAGCAGGTAAGTAGTCTTAAATATTCAAATTTTGATGTTTATTTCCATTTAAAAAATGAGTGGGTATAACTTTTTTCCAAAAGAGCATTGCTGTAGAGCAGTGATGCCCAGTCTTGTCACCTCGCTGACCAAATATATTATTTTTAAATGTCACTTCCCCAAATTTGGGAGGGGAGAGAAGGGATAGTTCAAAGCTGTCACCTTCTCCTCCTGCCTTCAGCTCCCTTCTGCTTTCTTCTCACCTGAGTTCTTATGAATCTGAATTGGAAGCCTACAAGCAGCCCCCAGCTTGTAGGTGG